TTATTTGATTCTGTATGAATTTAGGATTATGAATATATGATTTATTTGTAAAAATGATGCTCTGGGAGAGAGAACGAAATTATAGAAAAGTGCCTGTAGGCTAGGTTTTGGAAAAATTGAAATATTTCTGTTTGAGGAATTAATGATACCATTAGATTCTGTATGTGTTGAGGATTAGAAATATATATTTAATTTGTAAGAATGATGATCTGAGAGGGAGAACAAAACTGTAGAAAAGTGCTTGTGAGTTAAGTTTTGAAAGAATTAGGGGTTTTATTGTTTATGTTAAAGTTATATGAAATTGATAATTCCATTGTTTATAATATTAATTTATGAATGTTATTATTGTATTGATTGATAAGAATGAATGATCTTGATGTGAATTACTTGAGGGGTGTGTAAACCCTTATTTTGTTGGGCTTATCTGTTGTGTATGTGAGGTGGAATTGTGTACGTGATGTGAATTTGAATTATGAGATGAGATGTTGTATGATTATATATATATATTAATATTATATTTATATATTATTATATTATTAATTATAATAAAACTAAAAAAATTATGTTAAAAAAGAGAAATTCTAATTTTTTTAATTAATAAAAAAATAATTTATAATTTTATATATATATATGAAAATAATCTGGCACCCCTAAAAATAATCTGGCACCCCTGAAAAATTTTTTCAAGTTCCGCCACTGATTGTGTGTTCGATGCCCAATCTTGCCTAATAACTTTAAGATGTTAGATCTCTCCACTTATATTACCCTCACTTCACTTGGGCATTCTTTACCAAATACACTTGAATATCAGCCTCTGAAATACTTATTGGCTTCCATCAGAAATTATTATACGGCATGATGAATACAATGTAATGGTCATAGTTTTGCTTGTTATGTTCTTTGTTCTGTAGCATTCAATATATGCACTTCAGAGCATTCAGACTATCAAACAATCAGAAAATATAGTTTACTTTACTTCGTACATGTTGATACTTTTGTTTACAGAACTATTGAAACATCAACTTGTAAATAACACACGAATAATGCTTTATACATTATGCTGTTTATAGATACCTTGATTAAATTCTTGTTAGGAATCTCTTCCCACTTTGTTTACTCTTTAATTTTGAGCATAAAGGGGAAAGGGGAAGTAGAAAATCTGTTGAGCTTGTTTCTAATATGGTTTTATGCTAATATATATCAAATGCTGTCAATGAAAAATGGGTTGAGTTTTCATCCTATGTTCTTTCCGGAAGGTTTGCATCTAGTGTAGTTTTTTTACTCTATAGTTAATTAATTAATTTATAATGATGATTTCTAAAAATTGCTAAAACAATTTAGTAAGATATTCTTATACTTATGAAATTATATTTAAATTATTTATATTTTGTTTATTTGATATGTTATTTAATGAGTCAACATAACTCAACTTAAATCATAACTTATCATGGATTGGGGTTAGGTTGAAATTTTCAACCTAATCTTAAAACAAATTCAACCCAACTCATTTTTTTTAATGAATTAATTAGATTTACCCGTATGACATCCTTAATATTTATTTTAGATATAGGTACTGAGAGTATCTGTTTATATTTTGTATTTCAATGCAGGTTCTTGAAGAGCAACCAAATAAAAACTATTTCTCACCTTGGTGCGTGATACCTATGATGTTGAACGCACTTTTAGAACTAATAAGAAGCTTTGTTATTGTCTACCAAAGTGGTCCTTACTACAAAGAAGGATGGTTTCTCTTTGCTTTCAGAACTATCGGCTTAATAATTCCTGGGCTGCCTGCTCATGGTCCTCAAGATTACATCAATTCCACTCTTTTAGGATCGATTGAAAAACACTTCAAAGTTGAGTGATCCACATGAAGATGCACCGATGTTTTAAAAGTCAAACCAGAATTACGAATCAAAAAGACTATATGTTACCGTAATTAGTTGATTAGGTAATGATTTTCTATTCAACTAGCTGCCCGTGGAAACCAAGAGTCATTTTTTGCAACATACTTGTGACTTCTATGGAAAGAAACTTACAAATACATGGTACTTTATTTGGTTTCTAATTGTTTGATCTTTGTGGCTACATAAGAAAAATGTTATTTTCAATAATGAAACTCCTAATGTTGAAATGAATAATTCACCTCTTCAACATGCATAACTTGTTAATCTATATAAGCACAACCCTATTACAATAGTAAAATTTAATGTACACATTTTTATTGCTCCAAGGACTATAGAACAATGTGTTAAAAATTAAGTAAAAATAATGTCATCAACTAGCTAAAGGAATAGCTTCCTTCCAAACACTACAACAAAAAACAATGAACCTTCCATTTTCTAGTTACATAGCCAATATGTGAAAATTTTACTCTTTTTTTTTTCGTTAGATACAATAACAACGCCAAATTAGTCTAGTAAATTAGCTAGACCTTTTTGTCTCTCATTTAAGACTAATTATAAAGACAAAAACAACCAAGTGATTATTACATATTGTGTAATAGAGTGGGCCGAATGTAGTTCGGTAAATGAAGTGACAATATATGGAATATTTATAGGGATGCGGTCATATATGAGATGAGTTAATTTTGCATGCTAATAATTATTACTCTAATTAATTTTAATATCAACTATTCTATTTTTGCACTGGGGAAAAAAACAATATAATGTTGGAAGATATGAAAGTTTGTTATGATTATTATGTTGTAGAAGCTCCTTCTTCTGGCCCTCTAGTCAGTGGTGAAGAAAAAGAAATACAATAATAAAATTTAGTGAACGATCTTATTCTTGCGACAATATAGAAACATGTATTATGGGGCAAATGGCGTGCGAATATTAGACGACGGCAACGGCGGTACCGTGAGAGATGCGCCTACAAAGGGATCCCTAGGCGCGGTACAACTGTCACGATCGTATAGACATCAATCAACTCCACGTCAGGTAAGCCATAATCTATACTCTTTGAGCAACTCAATATATGACTCGAATGTCCTCAACCGCAATCGCATTTTTTTGGGTGAATTACGAGTTATCTGAAACATCGAAACAGTGGATGAGGGGTAAACAACAGGGGATTACTTTCAGTGGTGATGAACACAGCATAGTTGAACAATTCAGGATTCTTGAGAGTATAGAGATTTGAAACAGAAATTGATAATTAATGCAGTACCAAACACATGCATGAAGGGATACGCCTTTGTGACCCATGAAAATCATCTCCTGTTAGGGGCCTCGATCGGTAGGGAGGTGAAACATGGTGTCATAAGGAGGTTGGTTGTGAAATATGGGATTGATCTATTGTGTTTACAGGAGACTAAAAAAGGAGAATATGCCTAATGAGCTACTGGAGAAGTTATAGGGTAATGGTGATTGCAATTATGCTTGGTCATCGATGATAAATGCGGCGGGTGGGTTGCTATGCATTTGGGATCGAGTAAGATTCATGTTTCAGCATTCGGGCTCGGGATTTCTGGTGATGTTGTGATATTGGTGAATGTGTGCGCACCTTCAGACGGGAGCCTCAAAAAAACATCTCTGGGACGAGCTTATTCTATGTAAAGAAAATAGTCCAATTTCTTTATGGTGTGTGGTAGGGGATTTCAATAGCATTAGATCATTGGAGGAGAGGGTGGACCTTGCGTCTGGTTTGTATGTTGTAGCGGATATTGAAGTTTTTAACAATTTCATAGAGCAAATGGAGGTGGAGGATGTGTCACTAGCAGGAAGAAAATTCACATGGTTTAGGCCCAATGGTGTGATGAAGAGTAGAATAAACCATATAATGGTGTCCAGGAGCTAGTCTATGAGGTTGCTAGGTGCCAGCCAAATGGTGCTAAATCGGGGTATTTTCGACCATTGCCCGATCTCAATGAGGAATAAGGTGGTTAACAGGGGCTCGAAACCATTCTGACTATTTAATTCATGGTTATAGTGTGGGGATTTCAGAAAAATGGTGATTATAGAGTGGTCTAACCTGGTTGTGCCTGGCTAGACTGCTTTCATTCTAAAAGAAAAACTAAAACACCTGAAGTGTAAAGTGAAGGCTTGGGTGAGTGAGTCATCAACTGGGTTGACAAACACGACTCAAAGGGTGATGGATGAGCTGAATATGCTTGATTGAATTGAGGAAAGTAGGGACTACAAAAAAAATTGGATTCAGCGACCACCAAAATTGGTCGCTAAATTGCTAAAATCGGTCGCTATTTGCCTTAGCGACCGAATTTAAGTAGTCGCAAAAATCCTAGTTGCAAAGCTATATAGCGACCAAAAATTTTTGTTCGCTATTTAGCGACCGAAAATTTTGGTTTAGCGACCGAAAATTTCGGTCGCAAAATGGTTGCAATGATTTTGGTCGCTGAAGTGTATGGGGACCAAATAGTGACCGAATAAATCGGTCGCTAAATCGTTCGCTAAAGATTTATTTTTTATTTTATTAAATTTTATAGACGTTACAAATTCGGTCACTACGAAATACTCATATTTTGCCTCTCAAGGATTTTATTTCACAATACTTCACTTTTCAACATGTTTTGTCCTTAATTACACAATTTTTGGGAAACTTCCCAAAAGGTCACCCATCCCTATATTACTCCAAGTCAAGCACGCTTAACTGTGGAGTTCTTATAAGATAAGCTACAGAAAGACATATGTATATTGTCAGTATAGGTAGTACAAATTAATTCATTTAAGTCATCCTCAAATATACAATCTCATACTTATACTATCTTTGGATCCCTCTCATTTCGGTGTATCCGAACCGTTATAAAAATATAATAATATATTTAATAATTATATTACTAATAATAATTATTATATTATATTTAATTAATCTTTATTTATATATACTTACTTTTATAATTAACAATCTACTTATTTCTATTTAAAATTAATATTATGATACAATTTAAATTATCTATTATAAATTTAAAATTTTAAATAATAATTTTTATATTTTAAAATGAGAAGGGTTATAATAACACTGATATAACTTTTACTAACTATTACATTGTTCAATAACTTTATATTAAATGTGAATTTTGTAAATCCAACCGTTAAATTGAAAGTTCATATCACTTTATATGTTTATTTCAAGTTTTGTTAAAATTGAACAACAACTTGAAGGTAATCAAAGTGCTCATATTTTAATATATTTTGAAATGTATATGTTACGTCAATTTTATTTTACAAGAATGAAGTATCAAATCATCTTGAATTCATGTAAAATTTTGTATATATGATCTAAGAGTAAAAAACTTTCAATCTAACGGTTGAATTTATAAAATTCACATTTAATATAAAGTTATTGAGCGATGTAATACTTAGTAAAAGTTACACCTGTGTTATTATAACACTTTTCTTTTAAAATATTATTTTTATAAATTAAATTTTAACATTTTAAATAAATTATTAATTAACTTAATATATTTATTCATCTTAAATCTAAGATATAAAATTCAAAAAATGTATTTATCCTTATTTTATTTTCTAATTATCAACCATTAATAAAATACTAATTTAAAATCTTATCAAGTTATATCATAATATTTTCATATCAAGTTTAAAATCAGATATTAGTTATAAAATATGTTAATTTGTGTTGGAATTTATATTTCAACATGAAACTTTAAAATAAATGTGCGAATAAAAAAAACTCCGTTAAAACAGTCACGTATTCTATTTGATAGAGAAAAAAGTAAGAAAACGCATTGTGATGTATTAAAAACTGATCAAACAAAATAAAAATATTATTATTTATAATAATTTTAGCGACCGATTTTAATTTGGTCGCTAAAATTATTATAAATAATAATATTTTTATTTTTTTAGCGACCGAAACCGTTCCGTCGCTATTTTAATCAACAATTATAATTTTAGTGACCGATTTAGCGACCGATTATTTGCCACTAAAAACTCGGTCGCTAAATTGGTCGCTAAATAAAATTTGCAACCAAATCAGATTCGGTCGCTAATTATGTCGCTATTAGCGACGGAAAAAAATCGGTCGATAATTTCGGTGGCTAAATTGACATTTTTTTGTAGTGGAGTTACTAGAGGTCGAGAGGGATCGTAAATTGCAACTTCAACAATCATTTTGGGAAATGGCTATTATAGAGGAGTCACAACTAGCTCAAAAGTCTTGGGTTCGGTGGCTTCAAGTGGGAGACTTAAATTCAAAATTCTTTCACTATGTTGTCAATGCGAATCATAAGAGGAATTCATTGAATGGCCTAGCAATAAATAATCTTTGGGTAGAAGAGCTAGTGATTGTCAAAGAGCATATTAAGCCGCTCTTCTAGGAAAGGTTTTCAGAATAGCTGGAATGAGGCCTGTGCTTGATGGAGTATGCTTCCAACAATTGAATCACGAGCAGAGGCAAAAGTTGTCTAGAAGATTTGATGAGGATGAAATAAAGGCTGCGGTGTGAGATTGTAATAGTGATAAATGCCTAGGGTCAGATGGGATGAATCTCAAGTTTATGACAGACTTTTGGGATGTACTGAAAAATGACATTGTATCTTTTGTATAACAATTTTATGATAATATAACGCTTCCTAAAGGCACAAAATCCTCATTCATATCACTAATTTCAAAAGTTGATAATCCCCTACAACTGAATGAGCATTGACCGATATCTCTGGTTGGGTGTATGTATAAAATATTGGACAAAACGCTTGCTAGGAGATTGAAGGTGGTGCTACCTTTGCTGGTGGATGAGAGGCATATAGCTTTCATGGAAGATAGGGGGCTACTACAAAGTGTTTTCATATTGAATGAGACTTTTGACAAGGTGAGACAGATGAGGAATTCATGCATATTCTTCAAAGTTGATTTTGAAAAGGTGTATGACTCGGTGTCATGGTCCTTCTTATTGTACATATTTCAAAAAATTGATGGATTAGATGGATTAAGGAATGTTTGTCTTCGCCATCCATGTCGGTATTTGTTAATGGAAGCCTAACCAAGGAGTTCCAAATGCAAAAGGGGATTAGACAAGGAGATCCCCTAGCATTGTTACTGTTAGTCTTGGTAGCAGAAGGGTTGACGAGGCTGGTTAGGGAGGCAACAC